TACGTTAATTGAATTTCGCTGCCCATTTTCTGACAATAAGTATATATTACATTCGAATATTACGTCTCCGCATTATGCAACCTCCGGGAAGTTTAACGGCTGTAGCGGAAGTAATTAGAGAACTCTTTTTCTCTCTCGCGGACCCGAACCCGGAAATTTTCTCATGAATTGTAAATGCGCGACCAAGTTTTTTAATCTCAGTATCGCATCTGGAAATTCAGATTGTTTATTTACAATTCGCTATGAACTCGCACGCGACGAGCGAAAGAGGCTACTTCGATTATTCGAAGATTTACTCGAATTTACCATACTTTTATTTTTCTCGGCAATAAAGTAGCGCGAATTAAGTTTATTACGAGTTGAAAATTGAAAAAGAATTATTAAATTATCTCTTCGTATCTTCCCAGCTGAGAAGCGCATTTGTAAGGATAAGAACAAAATTCTAATAAGTTCTAAAATATTTCAGATTTAAACGTGACGTTAATACGACTTTGAAACGACGCGAGAAATACTCGGCTGAATAAAAGATCATTTTTCCTTCGTTCTTTCCATCACAGACCGAGTGAGTTAGCGAAATAGAGAAATTTTCTTAGAAATGCATATTTTTTTCCGAAAAAATAGTAAATATGCATTTTTAAGAAAATGTTACTCTATCCTCTCCCGGATGATTGTTCGGACAAAAGGATCGCGCTTTTCTCTCCAACCTGAACTGTGCGAATTCCCCTCGTGGTTTTGTTATACATGCAAATAACCCTTCAGAGTGCCCGAAATGTCGGCCCTCCGAGCGAGATTTGAGGGTGCGAAAAATAATAATAACCGTAAAAAAAACGCCTGAGGTATAACGCGCGAATATTCTCGAAATAATATAGCTTTACTTGAATTATTATAGCGACGATTTCGAATAGGGGAACGTTTTTCACGTATTGCGCTCGCAAAATGTCGCTTTCATTTATCGTAAACATCGAATATTTTGCTTGCAAATCGAAGAGAATTTGACGTTTGTAGAGAGAGAGATAGAGGCAGACGAATATGTCCGTGCAGTTTCGTGATGCGAATCATCCACATGTTTGTGGAAATCCGGCGCGAGATCACGCGCCTGGAAAATCGATTTATTTATTCGGTTTCAATGCCGGGAAAGGATTATTTGCATTCAAGCAGCCACGACGCGACGCGCGGACAGAGTAAATAAAGTGATCTGCGTATTATAGTCGTATACGAACTTATTGAAATACCTTACGTGAGAATATTTGATTTCAATGTTTTTTTATGACACATTAATATGATTACAATGATAACTTACTAAATATTACGAGGCCATGTAAAACGAGCAATAAAAAATTATTTTAAACTTAGAAAAATTTTAATTTAAAAAAAATCAATATTACAATTAATATGATTGTTGATTAATACGATGTATGCTTATGAATATTATCAGCGTTGTTGGATAAAAAGAATTATATTTTTGTATCCGCGGAATATGTAAAGAAAGCAAGAATTCTGAGAACAAAAGGAGAGCTCTTGTTAGATCCCGAATCTTGAAAATTCAAGAAGTCGATGAAGACCGAGACTTCAGAAACTGAAGATGCAAGAGTCTCTTACAAGAAAGCGGAGATAATACAGAGCTTAGAGCTGAATATATGTATATATAGAATAATTCCCTATGCATTGGGAAATCTAACAATTTATAGAGATATTTGACTAATTAAAAGCAAAAAAAAATGCAAAGAAAATTAAAATTTATAAAAAAATTCTAAGCTCGCGAGATTCTGATGAATTGGAGAAGCTAAATAAAATAATATGATATTCTTGCTTTATTGACACACAATTGAACTTTTCTATCAATGAATATTTTTTACCTTCTCACAATATATAAATACCAACTGTGTATTTTCGATTACATTGTAACAATTTTTTTTATAGTAGTTGCTGGATATTAAAAACATTTTTATTATAGAAAGTTTCACGAATATAAAAGTTCTTTGTGTTTTTTGTTTCGAACGGAGAAAAATTCTGACGCATTTTACAATTTGGGTACCTGTTCATTGGTAGAAGGGTTAATGCATTTTATGTGCACGCATATGATAGGAAATGCAACGACAGGAGCGAAAGAGAATTTCGCGAAGTCGCGACGTTCTGATCTGCATCTAAATTGGAGAAAAAGCGTTAAGCTTCTCTCACGAGTTCGCGAATTTTTATATATATATACAGGGTGTCCGGTAACTAACGGACCAATGATTAAGGGCGGATTCTCTGGCCAATTTGGAGACGATTTTTCCTTAGCAAAAATGTTGAGAAGTCAATAATTTTCGAGTTATAAGCGATTGAAAAAAATGGGTTTTTTGAAAACTAAACGTTTTGGAGTTAAAAGTCTAACATAATTACATTCTTCAGTTAATTTCAGGTAGAGTTTACTATAATAAAATTTTAATTTGAGGCTTAGTTATAAAGATACACAATGACAAATATTGGAAAGTTGTAAAAAATAATGACCTTTTTCGACATTTTCGCTGAGGTAAAATCGTTCCCAAATTGACCAAAGAATCCATTTGTAATCGTTGGTTCGTTAGTTACCGGACACCCTGTATAGCGAATGTTGCCGTAATTTTCTTATACGTCATCAGACAAAACAGTCGATATGTCATTATAAGCATTCGCAGAGGGAGCATTTGCCCCCCTTTTGGTATCACTAAAAAATTAAGTATTTACTTTATTTGCATATTTAATATAGAAAAATGAAAATATAAAATGACCAAAAAAATTAAATTTAAAAAATAAAGTAATGAAAAATAAGAAAAAAAAATTTTAATTATACTTTCCCTTGGAAAAAATTCTGCGGACGCCCATGATTATAAGCTGATCGAAGCATCGTGATTAATTTTCTCGAATATAATAAGTATTATACAAGAAAAACGTATGTCTCTCAATTCGTTTTTATTTTTCTCATACGGTTAATTTATTCTTTTAACAAATAATGTTTTGCAAATTTTGTATTAACGCGGTGTAATTTGGTGATGTGACGAAAAAAATGTTATTTGAACAGATATATACATATATATATATATATATATATATATATATATATATATATATACTATATGTATGTCTCCTGTTATCTCAGCATATTGCGTATATATTCCATTAGCGGAATTTTGCAACGTGTCCTTCGGAAAAAATGTTATACAATTTAAATGCAAATACGATTTCTTTTTTCATATGCATTACGAGGAACTCATACATCATAATTCAATATAATCGAATCGACTAGAGAAATTGTGTCTCTGTGCAAAAGTACGAAGACAAGCGCTGAATTTCCATTTTCCAATATCGCAATATTTGAATACTTTGCGAGAGAGAGAGAAAGAGATAGAGTTCTACGATAGAGTGCACTCTCTATTGATAAATCAGAGATAATAATAAAATTGGAACAATTCTCCGCAGAGAGCGAGTGTATTTTATCTCTCGTTTTTTTTTTACAATCGTTTGTGATTGCAGTTGTTATTACAAGCTTGTTACAAGAAAAAAAGGAAAGGATCTTTCGCATTTTACGTATCTTATTCCTGTACCTTATTCAATAAAGAAGCAAGCTATGCGTAATTTTATTCCGCGACGCGTAAACGTGTACACATTGCTTTAAATGGCTTTTAACCGATTTTATGCCCCCATAAAACATCGCTGATAACGCGTTGACGTATCGACATAACGCGACAATAAATTCTTACACCTTTCATCGAGATCATGCCAATCTGTCAAAGGTGCGATATCATTTGGCCGCCGTCTCGCGAGAAATTATAGTCGACGAGATGCTATCGCGCGAAATGAAAGCGCGGAATATCTCGATACACTATTCGTTATTTATGAATATGACGCGGAAAGTAATATAGCAATTTAAAAAAAAAAACATGTATTTCTCTGAAAAAATATGAGAATTTTTTTATCGCAAATACAAAATGTATGTATACGTGATTGAAGTTTGAAGCGCTCTTGGAGCGAAAATAAAAATTTGTTAATAATAAGTTATTATTAACAAATAATAATCAGGATAAAAGAAATGGTTCTAATTATATCAAAAATATTAAATTTACGCAAAAAAGTATTATTAATGTATAAATATGATAAAACAATTAAAACACATTGAAATTATCATACATATGAGTATATAAAAATTAAGCACGGTCGTTTCTATGTTTGGTACCAAAAAATATCAGCACGTTGGCATTTCTTGGAATGCCCTACGATAGAAAAAAAATAATTTGTCCAAAAATAATCTCCGGAAGAGTTCCGTTTAACAAGATATTTACATATATGCGCACATAAATCCATACAAAAACTCATTATGGTCATTTTGACATCTAGTTCCAAAAATTGCAAGCATGGCGGTATGTCTTGAGATTTCTTACGATAGAAAAAAAATTATTTATCCAGAAACAAGATCCGGAAAAATCGTTTTATTATGATATTTCTGCACAGACGCCCAAATACTCGGTTAACAATTTATCACAGTCATCTCTGTGATTGGTGCCAAAAAATACGAGCATGGTTGTATACTTTTGGATTATTTGTGAAAGAAGAAAATTAATTTGTTAATAAACAAGACCTGGAAGAGTTCCATTTAACAAGATCTATAGGGAGTATCTAAATAAGTACGAAAAATTTTAAGAGATGATTCTTTGTCGAAAATTAAAGGAGGTTTCTTATGTAAATATGTATACTTTTATCGTTTAATTTTCTAAAAAAAAAATAAATAAATAAAAAAAAACCCCTTAATTTTCGACAAAAAATTATCTAAATTTTTTCGCACTTATTTAGATACGCCCTGCATATATTTCCGGTAAAATTGCGAAATCGCTGCATAAAAATACCGGGGAAGAGTGTGAAATGACAAATATTTCACAAGGGGCGATAAATGATGTCTCGATTCTAAATTCTGAAATCGCTATTTTTTTCACTGCATATATATATACTATATACGTATATTTATTCTATAAACATAGAGAGCTTACCTGAATGATCCTGGATTTATTGAGAATCGTGTTCCCCGACGGTTGATAACGCTCCATGTCCCTCAGGATACTACGTACGCCGAGATCGTCCGCGTCGACCAAACGAAAGGCAGTGATATTGACAAAATTGTACTTGAAGTCCTCGAGGTCGAAGGTTTCGATATCCTACGAGAGAAGCCGAGCGGGTGAATCGAATCGCGGACCGAAGTAGATCTTTCACTGTGCGTTTCAATATCCCTAGGGTACTTACGAAAGTCGTGAAGAGGTAGTGGTACTTGTAATCATTCATCTGCAGCTGCAGGATCTGCAATGTATGCGAAACGATGTGGTCAGCCACTTTCGCGAAATAGAATATATAAAATACGAGCTCTCTTTCTATCTTTCTCCTCACTGAGTTTTGAACTCTCGAAACCGTAGTAGGTACTCCAAATTTTTTGTCACAGACAAGTGCACAATTCGCGACGCACAATTGAGTTTTATTCCTCAAATAATGTCTTCTTTTTGATCAAAATAATATACAAAATGTTAACTCATTATTTAATAATCTGCTGTCACTTTTCAAATAATTATTTATAATTTAATTTCTAATCCACTTTTAAAATAAACTTTTTTTAAATCTATCGCAATTGTTATTTTTATTTAAAATATCGATTTGCCTTATATATATAAATTGACATATTGAAATTATTATTATGTTACATTATATTATATATTTATACATATAATATATAATATTGAATATATTATATTTTAATAATATATAAATATACAGTATAATAAAATATATAATATATATATAGATATAAAAAATCTAATTAAATAATTCGAATAATTGAAAAATCACTGAAAGAAAAGTTAGAAATCTCGAGCGTGTAATGCGTGCAAATAAAGTGATTTACCATTCGTAGAAACCGATGCATGTGCTCGGGCCTCGTGTCTACGATGAGATTCTGAAACTCCTTGCTCTTCATCTCGGAGAGAACCTGTCTGTACGAATTTGGATCCGCCTGCCTGAGACTGATTTCCATGTCACGGATTCTCGGTGATCTCACGAGCTGTCGTAGTTTCACCAATCCTGAAAAAATCGGAATAAATTCACGTTTAATCATTAATTGTCAATAATATACAAAACTAGATGTATCGAGTCGGAATTCATACAGCACACAAGTTTGCAGCAATATTGCAACAACATTGCAATCTTGCATATTGCATAGCAAATATTACAGAAATATTATATAGACATGAATTTGTAATAGAGTTTAAACAACGTTGCAGCAATATTATTTATTTCAGAAATATTATGAAAATAAAATTCACGCAAAAAATATTAGGTACAGAATATTCCGATCATGTATTTAACACATTTCCAATAATCCAATAGTAATATTACATATTTATTTTATTGCATTATTGCTGCAATGTTATAGAATAATATTAGTGAAAGCGGACATTTTACCGTTGCTGCAACCTTGCAGCAAAATTGCTGCAACATTTCACAATGTTTATGCAATGTTGTAATATTGCAATGAAATGTTGCTGCAATCTTGTCGCGCTGTATGGAAAGAGAAGAATATCTTTCGCGATGAGAAAATCGCGTCTGCACGAATCTCAGCACGAATTATTGGGTCGCTTAATAACACGGAAACCCGTGAATCGCACTATCCGACGAAATCAATACTCTCTCCGAGCGCCTAAGTATAATCAAAGTATCCGACTTGCGGGTCTTCTGGGAAAGCGCGGGCACCGTTCTAAGTTATTACCGTCGGGAACTTTGACTCTCGTGATTTCGGAAACGGACAGCGACGTTTCGGCCTGCCAGTTCTCCTCTCTCGAACAAGAAGGGAGATGTCGAAATAATCTATCAAAGTAAACTTTGTGAACGTGCAAATGGTCTGCTAATACGCTCGAGTTTGCGATATGTTCGCATATATCGATTCGTATTAAGCAAACACAGTATATAAATGTTATATACTCAAGCATGTTACATGTAACGTATATGTTAGTTGTAATTTCCCACTCATAGATGTAACATTTTTAATATTACATATATTACATTGTAACCCAGCAAACACAGTATATAAATGTTATATACTCAAGCATGTTAGATGTAACGTATATGTTAGTTGTAATTTCCCATTCATAGATGTAACATTTTTAATATTACATATATGTTCGCATATATCGATTCGTATTAAGCAAACACAGTATATAAATGTTATATACGCAAGCATGTTACATGTAAACGTATATGTTAGTTGTAATTTCCCACTCATAGATGTAACATTTTTAATATTACATATATTACATTGTAACCCAGCAAACACAGTATACAAATGTTATATACTCAAGCATGTTAGATGTAACGTATATGTTAGTTGTAATTTCCCACTCATAGATGTAACATTTTTAATATTACATATATTACATTGTAACCCAGCAAACACAGTATATAAATGTTATATACTCAAGCATGTTACATGTAACGTATATGTTGGTTGTAATTTCCCACTCATAGATGTAATATTTTTAATATTACATATGTTACATTGTAATTATATTGTCATTGTATCCCAAGATAGCACTGACTTATCAATACATCGATGTGCTATTTGGTATATAATTACAATATAACTACAATGTAATATATGTTATATTAAAATGTTACATCTATGAGTGGGAAATTACAACTAACATGGATGTTACATGTAACGTACACGTTATATTACCTGTTATATTCCGTTTTATTATAGCAATGTAACAATTATATATCGGTGTTTGCTGGGTTTATATAAAGGGACTCACGTGTTTTAGGAAACATAATAATAAAATCGCGTACAACTCCAAACGCAATTTTCATTCATTTTATTTGCGTTTAAAATTGTCTTTTGAGATATATAAAAATTTAATTATATATGAATTACTGTCATAATTAGTTTTATGTTTATTATTAAATTTATTAATTTTACTATAGCATAAAAGAAAAAATATTTAGATTTTTTATATTTTGTAAAAAAAACCTGTCAGAACAGCATTGGAATTCATGAAAATAATCAAATATTCATTGTCCATACAAAAACAATAATTATTTTAGTTGATTATTTAAGATCTCTAGCAAGAAATACATATCTATAAAAATGTTTAATTCGTGAAATCAACAAAATATTTCAAATAGATTTTTAATACGCAAAAAAATAATATTTTATATTAATTATTTATCCACGAATATAACAAAATAGGGTAACAATCGTTCATATTTTATTTTTATTTTCTATTTTATAATAAGTAATAAATTATTAATATCGTATATTATTTTATTTTACTTTAATTAATATTATATTTTTAAACTAGGACTTTTCTGACAATAAAAATGCAATAATAGCGTGCCACTCGAAAAAAGCTCTTTTAAAAGAGCAATTTAAAATGACTTCTTACAAAAAAATGCACTTTGCTATGCGTTTCGTTCAAATGTTAGCTGTAATTAATTCAGAGACGCGCAAGAAACCGAGTTTAATTGAAGCTGTGTCGACGGTAACTCGAGTAAGACCAATGTTCTCTCATGTAAGCAGATTTTGCATCCTAAGGGACAATACACCGGACGACTATCTCGGGACAACACAGTATGAATATACCGTGCAATAGTTTGGAGTTAAGCTCTGTTCTGTTAACACACCCCAACCCTATGATAGTGTCTCTGCGATGTATCACATCGCACCCGAAGAAAGCGATGTACCATGTGTTATAAATAGACTGAATTATCTCCACAATTAATATAATAAATAAATAATATACATAATATATATATATCGAATTTTTATTTATTTATTATATTAATTGTGGAGATAATTCAGTATATATATATATATATATATATATATATATATGTATATATTGTATATATAAATATATATATATAAATAAAAAAAAAAATATATATAAATAAAAAAAAATATATATAAAATAAAAAAAAAATATATATAAAATAAATAAAAAATATATATATATAAAATAAATAAAAAAAAATATATATATAATAATAAAAATTCGATTACTTTTCGAACAATAAACAATTTATCGATATCTCGATGCCGATAATTGTAACTTGGCAAATGCGTCGAGAAGAAAATCGCGCGTTTTTTGTTCCTTAATTATTCGAATTATAAGAACACTGCGGAACGAGGGATAGTTAAACTGCAGAACGCGCTGCTGCTTGAGTTGAGAATAATAAGTAGAATATTTCTCGTGGTTTGCGGCACGACTCGTTGCTGCTCAAATTATTAACACTCCGCGTACAGCTGGGAACGGACTTTCATGGGAGTCGTTTGAAACGGCGGTTTTAATTAAAATAGCATTTCAAGCGTTCCGCTGCACTTCGCAATTTAACGTGTGACACATGAGAGAGGGAAGAAAAGAGAGAGAGAGGGAGAGAGAAAGAGACACCTCTTATGAAAATTGACATGGCGAAAAGCCATAAAGTGCGATGCATTATCACGCGAGTTACGTTTCACAAGGCGTGTTACAACTGGGGACGACGATTCGTGAGCATCAATCAAAGTGAAAGAGCGGGATGTCGTTTACGATCGTATATACACGACGAGAAACATTGCGGCGCTATTCGTAAATTGCTACGTAGGAAATTGGCATTGCCAGACTTCGTGTTATGTATGTTATTTGAAGGATACCGAAGAGGAAGATTGTGTTTCTAGAGAATGAGCAAATGTCACATGTGGTATGCACGCGATGCAATTTCTCATTACAGTCAGAATATTTCGGAGTATAAAATGGAAATATATATATTTGCAAAATTATTCTAAATTATTCATATTTGTAAGATTATTACAAAATTAGTTATAATAAGATAAAATGTAAGGAGAATTATTAATAACAAGCAGACTGCAAAAAGTACAAAGATTATGTTGACACAGGTTGCGACACTTTTTTAGTAAGTTTATAAACTTATAAACACGTTTATATACTCAATAAAAAGAAGTGTCCGCAACTTCTTACAACTGTACGTGCAATATTTATTGTTAGTATATTATTAGAAAAAAAGAGTAAGAAATTATTATTCATATATTTTATATACATTTATAAATTAATTTCATGTAACAGATGTCGACGTTTGAATAAAAGTGGGTGCAATGTCGTGAAAAATGTCATATATTGTATAATTGCATTTATATTTCATTTTAAAACTTGTATTTTTAAATAAAATATTTATATAGTATTTTAATATTATATATACACTGAAAAAAATTTTGTTGAATTCGAATAAATATTTTAATTGCCTAATAAATCATTTATGCGAAACTAATAATATTGATTTGATGTAAAAAATATTTATTTGATATAAGAAAATCCTTTTCAAAACAGATAAATATTTATTTATTTCAAATAAATTATTTATTAGGTAGTATTAAAATAAATATTAATTTAATAATTTTTTTCAGTGTATACAAAATATCTAAATTTCAAATAAATATGCAGATTTCTTGTAATACAAAGCCTTTTAATAAATATCGAGCAAATTTATTATTTAATAATAAATTCTAAAATAATAATAAAAATACAATAAAAATAATTTTAAAATAATTTTCTTTAAATAATAAAAAATTATAATTTCTACTCTCTTTTGTATATATATATATATATATATATATATATATATCATTTCATAAAACACAAAATTAATATTGACCAATTCCTTCAGGATTATTTCTACTCTATTATCTATAATGTATAATTATAAATAAAGTATCATGTCGGTATATGTTATACAAATCTTGGGAGACCTAAACTTATTAAAATAAAACTGATTGCATCGTTTGTAAAAGACGCGAGACAAGAGAAAAATTGCGGGCTAAATGAAGTACGGCGGCACTTATCCGACGATATGGATAATTTCTCTGGGGAGTCTGAGAATGCGCGAGGACATACGGTATTTCCAACGGGAAAACAGATTATTACATCGGCTTTTATACACACTCTAATGGCGATTACTTACGATCCGTGCTCGAAACGTCGATATATATTGCGCTGAGTCGGCGCGCGAGGAAGTAAGCTGTCAACGACTCTACT